TTTATACTATTTGTCCTCAGAGGGGAGTGCTTTAAAAACCCACCAAACTTTCTTACATTCTAATTAATTCTAATGTCAGGATAGTGTACTATTTATCAAGAATCTAAGTGTAGATTAAATTTAGTTTTATAGGATTCCCCCCGCCCCTGACCAACTGATACGCTTTGTAGAGAACTGTACATGAAGGGAAAATAATTCTCTAGTAACCACTTTTTCCTGTTTATAGTCCCACTTGGATCTTCTTTCCATTTTCAAATTCAACATGTTTTCTCTAGGCACAGGAAGCTTGCGTGTGTGACTTCTTGCTAAGTTGCTCACTTACTTCCAGACACATACACATGTATTTATACACATATAACACATGCTCACTATTTCATCCAGTTACCTCTAATCCCCTAATCTCAGCTCAATGAACTCTACCTGCTCAGGGACAAGGTCGCATTTCTCTGTCTTGCAGTTACACAGTACCCTCTTCTTTTGTGGCATTTATCCTGATTGGTGAATATGTACCTATTTCTATCAGTGTGTGCTTAAAATCTCTCAGCTAAAGTTTAGGAATTCCCCTAAATCAATTAAGAATATGTTCATGATGTTAGAGATAGGAACAATTTCTTAAAGAGAATGCAAAAAGCAGAAACCATGAAATAAAAACTAATTAATGGATTATTTAAAATAAATAAATTTTAAAAATAATAGTAAAATAAAATCTCTCAGCCTCACTAGAATGCAAGCTCTAAGAGGAAAGGGATAGATGTCTAGGTTGTACTCACCTGGCACAAAACAAAAAGTTCAATAAGTGTTTTTTTGTTTGTTTGTTTCAATGAATAACTGTTTGAAAAGTAAAAGTGTTAATTGCTCAGTCGTGTCCGGCTCTTTGCAACCCCACAAACTGTAGCCCACCAGGCTTCTGTTTAATTGACCCCTAGTAATAATAGTGGAATTTGCTAAAGATGGGGTTTAGTTGAGTTCATTAAAATGTAAAAGAAAAGAACTAGAGTTAGTTGAAAATGTGAGCCAGGCAGGATGGAGTAAATTTGGGAATAAGAACAAAATCTGTTAACAAACTCTAATTAACCCAGTATCTTAGACCCTTGGTCCAACGTAGAAGAATCGTCCCTCCACACACCCCCATTTAGAGGAAATCCTGCCCAGTGGAAAAGTGATATTAATACCCAAGAGGATTACTGCTACAAGCCAGAGGTGATCTGAGTGTGAATTAGCAAAATCAAATAATCACCAAGTTTATTGTTAGTGGGAGGTGCCATGTTGAAAAATTAGAATGAGAGGGTGACTTTACAACTGGAAGGACCTTGGAGATTTGCTTCAGATATGCCCCTCCCTTTCTGAAAGCAGTTAAAACCACACCTCAGATAAAAGGATTACACAATCCCCCTTTGGTTCCTGTTCTACTTTTGGAAAGAAGTAACTTATCTGAAGCAAAGGGAAGCCATGGGTCAAGGGGTTTGTCCATCTTGGCCCCTCCAGCCCATTCCTTTGGGCTTCCACCAGAGCACAGCCTGGGGCCTACAGCTCTGGTCCTTGGGTCCCTGCCCGACAGTCTCCAGGGCTGCTTCCTCTCAGCATCATAAATAGCCCTCATAGACTACCTGGCCCTTGTCATCTCTACACCCACACCTTTTGCTACTTTGTCTCCTGCCTCATGGCCTCTCTGGGAGAGTCCTGTGAATTTTGTTTCTAGAAGCAGTTCTTCTACCTGGAACACCCTCTTACAACCTTCTACCTAGCTAATAGTGTCTATGTACACATACACATATATGTATACACACACATACAAACACACTTTCTTTTAAAAAAAAAAATCTTTGTTTTGTATCAGAGTGTAGCCGATTAACCATGTGCTCAACCTCCCACCCACTTCGCCTGATGGACCTGCGCTGGTGGAGACAAGACTCTCATCCCTCCAGCCATCCAGCACCTCCACGCCTTTTTGCATTTCCTCCCTGTGACTCTTGCCTGTGCCAGCAGCATGGAGAGCTTAGAAGCTGACCTCTGGGGTCATTGCAGTTGGTAGTCAAAGAAGACAGCCTGAGGACTCTTCCCCACAGGATGTTTGTTGTTGTTTTTTTTTTCCCCCAAACTTTAAACTTTTTATTTTGTATTAGGGTATCACTGATTAACAGTGTTGTGATAGTTTCAAGTGAACAGCAAAGGGTCTCAGCTATACATAGGCATGTATCCATTCTCCCCCAAACTCCACGCCCATCCAGGCTGCCACATAACATTGAGAAGAGTTTCCTGATGTACAGCAGGTCCTTGTTGGTTATCCATTTCAAATATAGTAGTTAAGCATATTGTTTTCTGAATCATTGAAATGTCTTGCCCTTTTACCCATAACTACTTTAAGATGGATTTCCTACGAACAAGAACAATTTCTTATATAAGCGCCATATATTTATCATCATCAGGAGATTTAACATTACTAAAATCCTGTTTCTAATCCACACTTTATGTTTAAATTTTCCCCATTGTCCAGTAATGTCTTTTATACCTCTTTGATCTCCCCCTGTCCAGGAGCCAATCCAGGATCACACATTACATTTTAACCTTCTTTAATCAGAAACAGTTCCTCTGCTTTTCTTTGACCTTTGACATTTAAAAAACCTAAGTCAGTTATTTTGTAGACTAGACCCCAGTTTGAGATTCTTCATAGTTTCCCTGTGACTTCCACAGAAGCGATGTCCTCCTCAGTATATTGTGTCAAGGGGCTTAAGATATAAAATCATCCCCAAATAGGTGATGTTTGCTTTGATCTCTTGGAGAAGGTGGTGTCTGCCACATTTCTTCACTACAAAGTGATTCTCTCTTTTAAAACCATTGTAATTGATAATTTGAAGGAAAGAGACTTTGATGCTATGCAGATATTCAGCTCCTCATCAAGCTTTCATCTACTAATTTGACATCCATTTTGTATCTGCTTTATTTTTATGGAAGCTTAGTTAACATTGTTAATAAAAAAAGGAATGTGATATGATAAATGGACTTTCTAAATTACCTTACCTAAAATACCTGCATCTCCCATGTCAATCCAATCTTCCTTTATGAAGATCTTATCACAAAAAACTGAGAGATATCTCATATGTATGGCATTAGCCAAGGCAAGATTTCTCATTTTCATTTTCTATTCTATTCATGAATGATCTTTTCATTTCCTTTTCTTTTACAATAATATTTTTTTAAAAAGAATCCATGAAAAGAGCATTTATTTTAATAATGAGGAAAAAGATATATATTATTATTTCAAGCTTACCAGCTGTCAAAATATTGCTTTTGGTCACATCATGATGGGCATCAGTAATTGCATTTACTTTTTCATGCTTAGTACAAGGGCTCACTTAAGTCTCTGAAGAGCTGCTTGCAGCCTTGGGGTCTATGAATTGGAAATCATGTGGATTGATTAAAGTCATGAGGAGAATTAGGATAAGGGTCAGATCATAGGAGCATCAGGAAGATAAAATATTACCATTTAAACGAGAAATGGAACTTTTTCTCCTTTAGTGAATCCCATTTTCAATGACAGATGGGGTTGGTCACTGTGAGATTAATAATACCTGACATTCACTCATCCATTTATTCAAAAGAAAATCTTTCTGCAAGCCTACTGGGTGAGAAGAAAATTCTGTACAACTTCTAGCCTTTTAAATTATGCATTTGAATAGATTCTTCTGGATCTCTAAGCAAAATATGGCCAAAAGGAACCTTGGAAGCTTGATTATAGGTTCTATTAACATGTTATTGACTAGGGGATTTTTACAGAAATTAACACCTATGGCTAGTGATTTGTTATGTAAGTGAATATTGAAAAGTCTCTGGTCAATAATGTTCGGGTAAAAAACATGTATTAATATGTCTGTAGTCAATAAGTTGTTAGAAGAGCTCAGAACCTGGAATACCCTAGAAAAAGCAGCCTGCTTCCTCCATCTCAGACTAAGCGCTCAATTTTAGAAACCACCAAATGGAAAGGAGAGAAAGAAACCCCCGCCCCTGACGACCAAATCAGAAAAAGCCCATGTGTTCATAGAAGCACATTTAGTGAAGTCCACTCACCTCAGGCCCAAATTTCCTAGAAATAAACTTTCTCCTTTGTTTCACCAATTACTCTCATGTTAGGTTCTGACCACTGATGAGCTTCTCTGAAATATCATCAGTATCAAAAACTTTACAGAGAGAGAAAACCTAAAGAATAAATATCTTTCCCCTTCATATACTTACTGTCCAATTTATTCCTCACAAAAAGCTTGTGAAAAAAGTTGAGTAAGACTAGATCTCTTCATATTCTGGTGAGGAAACTGAACACGAGAGAGGTGAAGGGACAGTTTGGAGTCAGGGATGAATCAGAGCTAGAATTCTGATCCCTGGGGTCATAGTCCTCCTGGCTATACTTTTGTCCCAGTGAGGTCATCCACAGCCTCCCCATACCACCCACCAGCTTAAGTGCTTTCATAGTACTTTTATTTATGTGATTTTTTAAAGTTATTTTGTTTATTTGGCTGTGATGGGTCTTTGTTACTGCTCGCAGGCTTTCTCTAGTTGTAGCAAGCAGGGGCTATTCTCTAGTTGCGGTGTGCAGGCTTATCACTGCAGTGGCTTTCCTTGTTGCAGAGTGCAGGCTGAGTAGTTTCGGGGCATAGGCTTAGTTGTTCCCCGGCATGTGAAATCTTCCTGGACAAGGGATCAAACCTGTGTCCCCTGCATTGACAGGCGGCTTCTTAACCACTGGACTTACCAGGGAAGTCACTATTTATGTGATTGTTTGCTTAATGTCTCTCACTCTATCATATAAGAATTATAGGAATTAAACCTATTTTTCTCACCTTATGTTCCACAGCCTACCTTGGATGGTTTTGGATGGGCACGTGGATGGGCCAGTATCCCACCTGTTTCTCTTAACCATAGCCGTGTCTTAAGTTGATACAATACATATTTCTCCTGACCACGGTAACCTCCTGTGTCCTTTTCCAGACCGGAGCTTGCTACCAGACATGGCCCTGTCAGTGGACTCCTCTTGGCACCGGTGGCAGCGGCGAGTCAGAGACCGCTTCCCCCAGTCTCCGTCCGAAGCCACGCCGCTGCTGCTCCCAGAGAAGGAGACGCCGAGCTGCAACCTTGCGCAGCAGCGGGTCGTGTTCCCCAACAATAACGCGTTCCACCGGGACTGGGCGAAGTTCTCCAGGCAATACTCCAGCAACAGAATCTGCACAACCAAGTACACCCTCTTCACCTTCCTGCCCCAGAATCTCCTGGAGCAGTTTCACAGGTACACGACCGCCTGGCTGAACACTGCACTTCACCCACGCATTTGCCACTCGGATGAGCTCAAAAATGCTGCTTTCTGGGCTACCCTTCCTTTAGTATCCAAATGCATGTACCTTGGGAAGCTTTGTCATTCATTCATTTGCTCATTCAATATTTATCAGATTCTACTCGGTGTTGGGTCTTGTGTTTTGTATTAGAGATATATAAGGGAGAAAAAAAAAAGGTGCATTGTTCTGACTATGTTGGCTAATGAAGGAAACCAGATGTCAATTTTAGGAATTATATGCATGTGAAGTCACTTCAGTCATGTCTCTTTGTGACCCTGTGGACTGTAGCCCGCCAGGCTCCTCTGTCCATGGGATTCTCCAGGCAAGAGTACTGGAGTGGGTTGCCATTTCCTACCCTGGTGGGTCTTCCCAACCCAGGGGTTGAACCTATATGTCTTATGTCTCCTGTATTGGCAGTCAGGTTCTTTACCACTAGCACCACCTGGGAAGCCCAGAAGTTATATAAATTGGTGTAAGCTGTAATTCAGATAGGTACTTCCAAGGAGAGGTATGTGTTGCTATTAGAATAATACAAGAGAAATCAGGCCTAGTTAGGAAAGTCAAGGAAGACTTCCAGGAGGAAGGGACAGTGGAAGTTTAACCTGAAAGAAAAGAATGCATTAACTAGGTGGAAAGAGGTAGAGAGAAGTCAGAAAAGGGAGCCAGAAGAATGTTCTTTCAGACAGACCTTTATGTTTGAAGGCACTGTGGCAAGAAGGAGCAAGATGTACCTTGGAAAGCTTAAAACTTGCAAGTCATTGTTTTGAGATAAAATAGGCAAAATTACATTTTAATTATAAAGTAAAGTATGCGTCCAGACATTATCCTAAATTTTGTAATTATTAGCACCCACCATTTATCAAGCAACTACTATACTTTGTAACCCTGTATTTTATACATAATAAATATCATCCCATGTAGTAGGTATAGGAAACCTTTAAAGTAGGTAGTACTACCTTCGTTTTAGATGGATTTGACTTCAAAGCCCTTACCGTGACATTGGAGGTGACAGTGAAAGAGAACGTCATATTAGTTAGTAAGAGCTAGTAGGAGGGAAGAAATAGTGTGTCGACTATATTTTTCTTCTCCATGGTTTTCACTCACACCTTTCTTGCCCCCTCCAGATGGGCTAACCTCTATTTCCTGTTCCTGGTGATTCTGAACTGGATGCCCACCTTGGAAGTCTTCCACAGGGAAATCACCATGTTACCATTGGCCATTGTCCTGTTCATCATCATGGTCAAGGATGGCGTGGAGGACTTCAGGAGATACCGCTTTGACAGACAGATAAACTGCTCCAACATCCAGATATATGAAAGGTAAGGGCAAGTATTCCTGTTTTCTCTGTGGCAGATAGATTGTATAAACTTATCAGCATCTGCAAAAAGTTGGCCTCTCTTCTCACGTTCATTTTTTTCAATTCACTTAATTCAGCGATACTCAACCAGGGCAATTTTCCCATGCAAGGAACTTCTGAACTGTTTTGGAGACATTTTTGGTTGCCATATTGGGAAGGAAGGTCCTACTGGCATCTCGTGGGTAAAACCGAGGATGATGCTAAACATTTTACAATATACAGGAAAACATCCCACAACAAAGATTATGATCCTGCCGAAAATGTCACTAGTGCTGAGATTTAGAAACCTTAATTTAACTCATGTAAACACCATATTATTAAACCTAGGATGTTACATTATTAAGAGGAGGATAGAAAGCTCAGGACTTAAACTCTAGGGATTTCCACTGTGGGCCAGAGGCTAAGACACCATGCTCCCAATGCAAAGGACCCAGGTTCAATCCCTCATCAGGGAAGTAAATCCCACATTCTGCAACTGAAGATCTTGCACGCCACATCTGAAAGTCCCACATGTTATATGAAGATCTCGAGTGCTCCAGCTAAGACCTGGCACAGCCAAATAGTAGACAGAATGATAGATAGTTTTTTTTTTTTTTCTTTAAGAATTAAACTCTGAAACTGACTGAATCATCTCAGGAGACCAACTACAGGAACAGCTCTTTGAAGACTCGTGGGCAATGTCTCCCAAACCAGAAAATATATACCATTTTTAGAGCATCTGTGGCTCTTGGCTGTAAATCCTTGCCTTTAGAACTTAACCAGGCAGGTTTTAGGACCCAGAGTTAGCACACCTGTTCTGGGTTGCCAGGGGTGGAAAAGGAAGCTACCTGTGAATGACGTCTGCATTCCAACAGGTGGAGTCTCAACAAGTAGAAGGAAGTGACCCAGTGGATACACACCTGTTCTCTGCAAGCTGTTTCCTTGTCATCCTTCTCCCTTAGTGTTTATATACCGGCTTTTTATTTTTAGTTTTCCTTTTGAAAGCAGAGAGAAATTTTTAGCCAAGAAGGCAAGTCAAAGATGTCATCACTTGCTGGCAGCTGAATAATGGAAATGATCAGAAAAGAACCTCTTTTATGGGGAACTCGAGTGTCCTGCTACGAGAATTAAAGACAGGATTGAGCAGAGATGAGAAAGGAAGGCAAGAAAAGGCGGAAAAGGAAAGAAGACAAGAAACGAGTGGTGGTTTCCAACCTGCCCTTTGAAGGATGGGCCCACAAAGAGAACCCCAACAGACATTATTGTGGGAATCAAATCAAGACCAGCAAGTACACTGTGTTGTCCTTTATACCCAAGAACATCTTCGAGCAGCTGCACCGGTTTGCCAACTTCTATTTTGTGGGCATCGTGGTTCTGAATTTTATCCCTGTGCTCAATGCATTCCAGCCAGAGGTGAGCGTGATACCAATCTGTATCATCCTGGCAGTCACCGCCATCAAGGATGCTTGGGAAGACCTCCGGAGGTACAAATCTGATAAAGTGATCAATAGCCGAGAGTGCCTCGTCTATAGCAGGTAAAGTCAAACACCCGGGGAAGTCTTGACCCCAGCTCTGATCTTTCTGTGGCTGCTGCCACCTCAGCAGCTGTTCATGAAAGGATAGCATTATTTTATCGTGGTGAGGCTGTTTGATTCTCCACAATGGGAAAATGCAGAAAACAAAAGAAATTGAGATTTGAGTCCATCATTTATTAAAATTTGGAGATCTTTATTTATGTGATATTTCCTTTGCTGTGTCAAATGTGTTAGATGTTGAAGAATTTTGCTTAAATTCACATTCATTTTGGTTGAGTGTGGCCATGAGCATGTTGGAGCATGTTTAGAGACCCTCAGAGAAAAGTGGCATCACTGTTTTTCAGGGGAGTAGTAGGCACTGTATTAGAGAATCAGCCCCAGACACACTGCCCACATTGAACTCTGTCTCCATCAGGCATTAACTCTGTGTGACCTTAGGCAAATGACCTAACCTCTCTGAGACTCATTTTGTCATCTGTAAAATTGGAACCCTTCCTGAGGTGGTCATGAGAGTTGAGTGTAATAATCCTTGGAAAGTACTTAGCACTACTCCTGTTGTATGATAGTCAGTATACAAGCTGTCGTGGCTTTATTTTTAGAATGTAAAACTCATATTAGCTTCATCAAGACTGCCCTTAAGCTCTCTCTCCAGTGTCCCAACACAAGCAAAAATGGCTCACCACTTGTCTTGCCATGCTATATAACATAATTTTATATATGCTGTTGTTTTAGAAATACTCCATTGAGTCAATAACCAGTCTGGGTTGTTGGGAAAAGGACATGCTTCCAATCAGTAAGGGAAGATAATCGAGTTATCGTGTGTCTCAACTTTATGACAATTCCTGTAGCCCAGAAAGAAGCAAGGGAATGGAGTCTGGGCTTGTAGTGAGATTTCAGTGACAAAGAGTGCTTTCTGGTCTCGCAATGAGACACCTTAGATGAGTCAGTCAATTGCAGCAGGTGAGGGCTTGACTTCCTGCCAAAGTAAGAAAAGAGTCCATCTCTCTTGAGAAGCACCTTCGCTCTGACTTGTTCCCTCTGACTCCATGGATCCCGGTCGTTTAGCTGAAGTTGGTGCTGTAGCTCTGGTCCTTCTTGGGGTGGAAGGAGCTTGCTCCAGGGTGTGCCTCACCACTGTCCGGGGGGCTGCTGCTTTCTAAGAAGCCCTCTTCCCTGGGGAGAAACATGTAACTTAGCGACTTAGAGCCGGCTAATGAGAGGGTTTAAGAGCCAGACTCCACTCAGAAAGTTGGAGCTTGAGGAAGCTTCTCAGGAAACCATGCAATGCAAGGGACTCAGCTGTGCCTCGGGCACCCCTAAGAAAACCTCCACACCCTCCCCTCCGCAAAAGATGAGCTTCTGGCCTCTGTGCCCGCAGGGCCACAGTTGCATACCTAAAAATACTAACCGGAAGCCTTGATGTTCCCCCGCCCACCCCGGCTCAATCCAACTGTTGAAAGTGATTAGCACGCTGAATATGGAGTTGAGATTCAGTCATTCCTCAGCTTTGAATAAGGAAATTATTAGGAGAGAAAAAATCGCTGTTGGAGTCTGTCACTTTTCCCAAAGAGACTGTTTTTTTCAAGATAGCGTTGTTTCTGTCTTGTCACCAATCCACCACTCCCCTCGCCCCCCCCCCCCCACCATTACCTTTGGTTTTGTGCCTTTTTTTTTTTTCCTGTCTTTCTCCTTTGTTTCCTTTGTTGTTTTTCCCATAGAAGATGCCCTCTGATGCTGGTTCCTGTGAAGCAGGGACACATGTGGACCTCAGTCAGCTTGGTCCTGCTCCCCCTGCTCTGTTCTGAGCACCCCATAAAAATGGGCCTGTTGTGGGGTAATTTCAGTGTCAGTCAGACTGACCTGTGCTGGGTGCTGGCCTGATACAGGCCAGGCTGTTGTCATAACAATCCAGAGAAAAAGACATTTATTCCCAGGCCACTGGTAGAGAAGAACATAAAGGTTTTTCTTTTTTTCTTTTTTTTTTTTTAACATATAATATCATTTTATTTATTTTTTTCTTAATACTATGATTTCAGAGATATCTTCTCAAAGTTGTTACACATAAATGTTTAGTAATAATAATGTGTTTGATCATTCTTCATTATTTTGGTGAATCATAGTTTAACCCAGAGAGTATTTGAAAACCAGAATCTAAGATCAATTTACTTCAATACTTGATCATCATAGTTGTCAGGACTTAAAAATTACTTTGGGAATGCTTATATCATGCTATATGTACCAGAGAAGACTTTTTGGTTATTGATAATATAAACACGAATTCTTATTTTTTTCAATGAACTGTAGTTAATTTACAATGTGTTAGTTTCAAGTATACAGCAAAGTGATTCAATTATACATATCTCTATATTCTTTTTCAGATTCTTTTCCATTTATAGATTATTACAAGATGTTGAGTATAGTTACCTCTGTTATACAGTAGGCTCTTATTGTTTACATAAGGTGGTTTTGTGGTAGTATTTCCCAAAGTGTGTTCAGTGAAATGATAGTGACAAGAGATGGTCTCTGGAAAAAAAAAAAGTTCATGAACAGAGAAATGTACACTGGCCCTCCTAGACCCATGGTTCATGAAAGACTAAGAAAAGATTACAACAAACTTATTCATCTTTGATTAACTTGGTGTTGTTCCAAACTTGTAAAATCTTGGAAAGACTTTATAGTATCTCAATTTGGGAAATTTTAAATTTTCCAGTATTATAAAGTAATTGACTATAAGAACCAGGCAAGTGACTGAATGGAATAGACTGGATATAAAAAGGAAAGCAATATTATTGATGTACTGATTGATGGCAATTGATACATGACAACAATGCTAGGATGCAACAGGGAGTGGTGGGAACTGTGGCAAGCTGAGAGACGTAGGCATGCATTCATCTTAGGAGACAGAACTGGCCACTGAGCTCCAGCTGGTTACCATGTGGGAAAACAGGCCTAATGTTGCCAGATTGTCTGAATTTTATTAGGGGAGCTAGAAGTTAATAGCTTTATTTGAAAAACCTGATTTTTTTTTTTTTTGGAATGGGGGCTGTCCTGTGGCTTTGTTTGTGCTGTCTTTGTTGCTTTGCATAGGCTTTCTCTAGTTGTGCCAAGCAGGGGCTACCCTTCATTTTGGTGTGCAGGCTTCTCATTGTGGTGGCTTCTCTTGTTGCAAAGCACAGGTTCTAGGGGCACAGGCCTCGGTAGTTGCAGCCCACAGGCCCAGTAGCAGTGGCTCTGGGCTCTAGAGCATGCGGTTTCCAGTGTTTGTGGCTCGTGAGCCCTAGAACACACAAGCGTCAGTAGCTGTGGCAGGCAGACTTAGTTGCTTCTTGGCACGTGGACGCTTCCCTGACCAGGGACTGAACCTGTGTCCCTTCACTGGCAGGTAGATTCTTATCCACTGTGCCTCCAGGCAAGTCCTGAAGGGACCTGACTTTTAAGTGTTGACAAC